TTTTATATCACACCTCTGCACCACTTATTTTCCTTTTTTCACTCCCGCTCCCGTTAGACATGTAAACTTCACCTCAAGGCCCAATTACCCCCTCCACTTTTCTAGGTCACAAATAGTCAAAACCCTTTCACCCGCAGGGGACCCTGCTCCCATCGCACCTATGAGTGGAGGTGCCGAGTTTATATGGCAATGTGATAGTGGGAATCCACCTAAGCAATATCTGGAGTTAAGAGGAAAAAGGACTTACTGAGTCTAAAATTCGCTCTGTGGCCGGATCTCGCCTTCGCCGCAGATGTCGTCTAGCTAGTAAACTGCGCTAGAGTGCGCCTATATAACTCATGACCATAAGGTCCCACTACTCTCTGCGTTATAACATTAACGGGCTTCGCGCACCCCACATTCATCAAATTTGGAGGCTTCGGGGAAATTCCACTGCAACATTTTCGCACTTTTAGCAACATACTAAAATCAGAAGAATTGGAAGCCCGAATAAGTGGTTTTTTTAGAAGAGAGACCGTGTATGACGAACGCGTCCTTGAAAGCGCCATTGCCAGATACGACTGGAAGAACGCGATGATTCGTTAGGCGAATAACACCAAGAAACTTCTATAAGAAAGTAGAAGCCTGCACGCAGATCAGTACGCCACACCTGGAGCGAGTGTTGCTCAACAGCACTTGCACAAAAGCCGTGCAAGAGGATGTGAAACGATATAGACAGATGATACTTGAAGCAGCACAGAACAGCAGTCTGAAAAGATGTCGAAGAGATCTACGCGAGCATAAACTACCGATACAAGCTCTACTGAGTAAAGTTGGAAGATTAGAAAACTCCCGGCGCGAAATGGAAGCGATAATGGTAGATTTCAACAACGAAATCTTTCTGTCCACGACACCAGTACCGGATTCTGCCAGTCCCGCTGGAAAAAACCGTCAATCCTTCTTTCAAAAGTACGCGCAGCCATAGCCTTAAAACCAGGCACAGCTCTTCTAAGGATGGAATCACTGACAATTTATTGACAGGCGGCGGTCATAAGCTACACAGTCTACTGGCAACTTATATGATAGACTATCTGGAGAAAGAGAGGATACACAACCAGTAGACGTGTCGAACGATTATCCTCCTACACAAGAAAGGCGGGAGAGAAGACATAAAGGATTACCGACCGATCAGCTTGTTAAGTGTGCTTTACAGGCTGTTCACAAAGATCATCGTGTCGCGTATCTCGACGACGTTGGATGAAGCACAATCATCTGAACAAGCCGGATTCCGTAAAGGATTCAGCTGCATCGATCACATGCAAGCTGTCACAAAGCTCTTGAAGGTCTGTCGGGAATACCAACTCCCTCTAATCCTCACCTTTGTAGAAACAGCTATCGACCAAGGGGTGGACCCTGCCTACATAAGAACAATAGCGGACTGCAATACAGGATGCACAACAAAACACAGCCGTTCGATCCTCCCTCAAGTTGACACCTTGTCGCCAAAGCTGTTCACTAACGCACTGCAATGGTGCATGCAGTCACTTAGTTGGGATGAGAAGGGAATACGAGTTGATGGACGATACCTTTCGAATCTCTTTTTTGCAGACGATATGGTTCTATTCTCGAAATCTGTAGCGAAGGCGAAGAGATGTTGAACGAGCTTAATGAAGGCGAGAGAAGGACAAAGCTCATGATCGGACGAAAACGCAGTCATGAGGAACAACTGGTGCAGTGAAGGCCAGTTGAACTTATATGGATCACCGGCGTTAAAGACCACATCCTACGTTTACCTAGGGTCAACATGAATAATGATATAAAGAACAAACTTAGCAGAAGACAAAGAAGGGGATGGGCAGCATTCAAACCATTGAGAGAGGTTACAGACCGTCTTGCTGACTCGGAGCTGCGTGCTCAGCTTTTTGATGCTACACTTCTTCCAGCTCTGTGTTACGCAGCCGAAACCTGGGCTGACATTTCAGCAACTACGAAGATGCTACAAACAGCAGCGCTCCAGAGGAGCTTTTGGAGATAACGAAGTTTGAACAGTATAAACTTGGGATTCGGAGCTCTGACCTTAAGCACTTTTCCGTTTACAACATCCAGCAGAGTACCTATCGAGGAACAAACATAGATAGGCCGGACATATAATGAGAAGAGAAGATGATAGATGGACAAAAAGAACAGAGTGAGTTCTAAGAGCTTCGAAACGTCCACATGGTAGATCATAGGTGAGATGATGCGACATATCTGTTGACCGCGTAAGGCCTCGAACAGAGTTCACGTTTGATCGTCGCGATTGATCGCGACAAGACAACTGTAACAATATCATTGATTGCATGCCGATCTTCTTGCATTTCTGTTGTAATAGTTTCCAACACGACTAATCGTCGACTAACTATCACAACCGAAATACAAGAAGATAGGCATGCAATGAACTCCTAACACTTGTCTTATAGCGATTAAATTGCAACGATCAAATCGCGTGAACTCTACCCAAGGCCTAAAGGGCGGACATACTTCCACGCGATTCGGCAATATTCCAACTGTTCATAACTTACTGTAAGCACATTTTGAATGTACAGAAGTTGGGGCATTTTATCAGTCAGCGTAAGTCACACACATTACGCATGTGCGGTTTGCTAATTTTGGATCTAAAGACTTCTGGCAAATTGCCAAATCGCGTCGCTGAAATCGCGTGAAGTATGTCCGGCCTTTAAAACAGCTGCTTCAGTAGTTGGAACCTAATTTAGGATCAACCAGCAGTCGGAGACACGTAACAAGGCGTTCTGGATGACGATTGCCCAGAACCGCAACGAATGGTACAAAAATTGGGGCCCGCACGACGAGTGAGGACGGACTGTCTAAATAATCTAAGTAAGTAATGTGGAGATGCTGCCTTTAAGTTTTTTGCGATGTAGGCTAACTCTCACATAATCAACGAATACATTTTTAGAAGTTCGGGCGACGTGGAAATTTATGCTGTTCTTCCTTGAGTTGAAGATTTAAAGTTGGGTTATATTGCAACCGGTTATTGCACATTAATTTTTTGTAACTTTCTCTTTAGGTTACAAATCTAGTTTCTGCGTATTCTAATGAGAGTGACTTTCCTTTGAGCGGAACGATACAGTTTCAGTCACTGCTGCTAACTCAGACCGATATGCTATTTGCACAAAATGCAAATTTCAGACTCATAATGGAAAGATACCAAATTGCGCTGGCAAATGGGAAAGAATTGCATTGTTTCCTCCACGACTGCTGCTACCCCTGCTCTGCGACTCTGACCTGCGGCACGCATATCCAACATGTTGGAACATGAAAACATATCAACATGCACCAATGTGTTAGCAAGATTTCTAAACTCCCAGCCTTGATGTAAGCCTAAGGCTCAAGGCATACCCCGTGGTGACACCGTCGTCACAATTTTTGATCGTTGCGAATCGGCCGCCTAGGCGACGGATCATTGCGTGGAAACACAGGTGCGATAAGGTGAGAATGACCCCTCCAGGGTGAAGGGGGTCACAGCGGTCGCAGCCCCTCCGGGTGAAGGGTGTTTCAGTTAATCAAGAGATCATAGAATGTCGGCGGGGGGGGGGGGGGGGAGGGGGGAAGGAGAGAGCCACGGTGTTCTCTCATCATTTCCTAGTCAAAGTTTACAATTTTTAATTCCTTGCCATCACTGGTTGTCTTTTTCTGAAATGTGAGCCATGCGCTCCTGGATTAGCACACAATTATGGTTCTGACCAGCGCCTTGCATTTTTTAAACATTTTTCCTTTTTCCTTTTTTACATCACCCTGCCTGTTTTTGAAATTACCATAGAGAATGTGCATGCGAGAAGATTTGCTTAGGAAAAAAGTTAGACAATTTTTAAGCATTTACGAATTTTTCAAAGAAGAAATTCGTAATTTCTGTATGAACAGCAACGTCAGTGAAGGGGAATGTTTAATCCACCTTGTCCCGCTTTTAGCATATATAGTTTGCCAGGAGTCTGTTGAAAAAGTGCCTGGTGAGGAGTGTGGGTAGTGATTTCTGGATATTTACGAGTTTTTAGGATAGAATAATCCGTAACTTCTGTAGGTAAACATCTTGTACGCCGAGACGGTTACCACTGGAACCGTCTCATCCTCCGCTTTCAGAAAGTATATACTTTGCCTGGGGTCCATCAGAAAAAGTGCCGGGTGAAGGGTGGGTGAGACTTTTATAATGGGAGTGCTCAAGTACAGGCTTTTTTACCACTGTGAAAAATTCGTCTACTTGGGCACTCCCATTATAAAAGTCTCATCACCCACCCTTCACCCGGCACTTTTTCTAATGCACCCCAGACAAAGTATATATCTTCCGAAAGCGGAGGACGAGGCGGTGCCAATGGTGGCCATCGCGCCGTACAATGAATTTTTTCATGTTAAAAACTCAAAAATGTCTAAAAATCACTAGGACACCCTTCACCCAGGCACTTTCTTAAACGGATCTCAGACATGCTATATATTTTTCTAAAGCGGAAGACAAGGCGGTTCTAACGGTGCTTATCTTCCCGTACAAGATGTTCATCTGCAGAAGTTATGAATTTTTTTATGTTAAAAACTCGAAAATGTCCAAAAATCACTACTTACACCCGTCACCAAGCACTTTTTTCAACAGAGCACGCACAAATATCTCCTTTGCTTAACCTTACCTCGCTGTTGATTTTTTTTCTGCTTTTGGTGAAGGGGGTCACCTTGGTCCCTGCTCAGGGGTGAAAGGGGGGTGAGAAAATTTTTCACACTATCGCACCTGTGCGTGGAAATCGCTTATCGCTCGCTCACAGGCCATACCGTCTTGTGAATGTGTGAACGCTCTCACGTCACAACCTACATAACGCACAAATGTCACGCTTTTCCGTCGTCTTGCCCAACACAGATTTTTGTATTTGACATCTGCCTCGTATCCTTCCCCCGTTTTTTGAATCATACTCAGCTTCTTCACTTTCAGAGTGCTTTAGCACAGAGCCGTCGCGAGGAGTTCCATCGAGTCAAAGCTCACAATGGAAATGAAAGTGGTAAGCACTTTTTCTAAGTTGATAGCTGCATCAACTTTGCTGATTTCCATTTAGACGAAGGATCGTCTAAGCGACACGAAAAAACGTTTTCTGATATAGACTGTATCAACCAGCATCGTTCCCGCGTTGGCATGCCTTGCGAGGACGCACGTTCGCATGCGACTTGCCTTAAAGCATAGCAGTGTTCGCACGCGTCAAACCGTATCGACGCAAGTTGCCGCAGGCGCGACGTCGCATGACCGATGCGGGTTGGTACAGCCTATAGATGCGGTTTCGAAACGAGGTTGTGTGTGGGACACCAAAACTTCAACTATAAAAACCTGCATGCTCGCACAGCGGCTTGGAGAAGCGTGTCACAAGAGATGGAGGCCCAGTACAAAAAAATTACGATCGTCAGTTTGTTATTGTTAAGTTTTTTTGCTCTCAAGAATCTTTTTTCTTTCAGGTGAAGTCGCAAGACGTTCAAGAATGTCACGGATGTGTTTACAAGAAAAAGAAGGGAAGTTTAGGATATGCTAAAGAAAAAAGTGGTGTACCCGCTGGAGTGATTGAACGTATAACATCATGGCCATTCTACACTCTCCTACTATTTCTTGACAACGAGGCCGACAGTGGGTGGGTACAATCACATATTTTATCTTATTTCATAAGTTTTTCTTTTTAGCGAGCGATTTTGTACCGTCGTTGACAATAACGTGGAGCAGGAGTATGAAGAAGACATAGATGAAGAGGACATCATCGAAAAAAGGTTGTTCCGTTGCAGCTGGGATATCAATTTCCACAATTTCCTTTGATCGTCCAACTTACTTAGGCACCTGCAGGTCGACTTCGTTTATGAAACCACTTGGCGCCTTGGCAGGCCAAAAGAATATCAAAAGAACTGTAAGTGTGATTGAAAATAGAAAGATGTCTTTTGAAGTGTACTTATAGCAAGGGATAATATCGCTACAATGTTGAAGACGGCGTGCGAGATAATGGACAAATTTGAGGCGTTGGGTAGGTTAATACAATATGATGAACACGACATAGTAAGACTGCAGGGCAGTTAATATCGGCAAAGCTTCGCGAGTTAAAATCACTCGATGCACATGCTGTCATGGAAGCAACTATGAAAGCCGAGTAACTGACTGCAACTGCAACTTTCAAGCGCCATTTTTTCTGCTAAAAACCGCTAATAGGTTCTTTGCACATTATTCTTTTTTTTTACTTTGTACAAGTATAAATCTTGCCTCTTTGCTTACCGGTCCTATTAGCTACAATTATGAATATTTGTGTCGAGTATGTTTTTGTAATGCTTGTTTGCACGGCCCTAGCGCTGCTCTATGCCTCTGAAGTCTTCCGTTATTGAAGCTCGAAGAATCTGTTTGCATGTGTGTTTTCGATATTGTTTATGCTGTTCTTTGCTATATTCTTGTTACGAAGTGGAATGAAGCTGTTTGCACTTCCTTGCTCCTGCTAGTTGCAAATATATCAAAACTCGTGGCCCGCAGTGTTTCTGTACGTAGTGGAAGCCAGACATAGCAAACACAAAATTTCTTGCAAGATATAGTATAGACCGCTACGCTTTCCTCAACCGTCAAGCAGCTCCACGCCCTCAAACGAACTTTGACACTGTTGTCGTTGAGTGATTGAAAAATAGAAACGTTTGGAGGCTTCAAAACGAAAAGAGAAGAACCGAAGGCTTGCCGAAACTGAAATGGAACTATCCGCCGAAAAACTTGAGGTAAACATTCAGTTTTATACTTCTTTTGCTGTTTTTGGTTTATGTTTTTGTTGAAAGGTCTCACAATTTACATGCTATCAGAGATATCGTCGAGTCTAAAAATCGTGACGACGGTCTGCAGTGCGGCCAGTGCGCGCCGCACGGCACTGCCGCCTAGTGATTCGCCCAAATTACGTGGAGAAGGTGAGTTCTTGTGGTTTTTCTTTTTCTTTTTGCATCTTTTTTGCTTGCAGGAACTTTCATGGCTACCGCAGGGAGCCTACACTTCTGAGAAGCAAGATTGCCTTACGTTAAAGCGGCAGTGCCGTGCGGCGCGCACTGGCCGTACTGCAGACCGTCGTCACGATTTTTAGAGTCGACGATAGGAATAGGTCCATCGAATTTCACTATTTGATTTCAAAATACTACACATGACAGGCATCGCCGTTGTGCTTTTTTTTGTTGTACGTGAAGTAACCTTACTTCTTTTATAAAACCACCTCAAGCCAAACAAATGCAGTTTGCTGCACTTCTTTTGGTCAAAAAAAGAACTGGTCGTTTTTTCTGGGTTATTTACATCACTAGGTGCAACTATGCGCATGCTCAATGCTTATAAGTTGTGCATAAACATTTACAGATGGAAGGGCACTGCCTTCTGGCATGTTCTGTTCTGCTTCGTCCTTGTAGTCGTCGTCATTGTCTGGAGACCTTGGATCAATAACCAGCGTTATTCCTACTCCTCTTCAGGGTGATGGTGCAGCTAAAAATAACCAAGGTTTGTTTTGTTTATCTCTTATCCGCTGCTTTGTCATGCTCATTTCTCAACTTGTTCAGACGAGGTCGTTTGGTTTTCAGATGCTGCGCGATTATGGCAGCGGAGCAGATGTGCGGCGTCAAAAAGAGAAGGATCGTGAATATTTCGAAAGAACTTTTATACTTGATTCCTTTCAAACCACATCATGTTCTTTTTTTGAGATGTGTGTCTAGCTACGGTGACCTTTCAACTTGTGTCAAAATTTAGTTAGTTTGATAAGAGATCTTTCTTTCTTGTTTTGGCATGGTTTTTGAATAAGGCTGTAACATGTCTACTCTGTCCATAAAAAAAACATCCATACGACTATGACCTAAATGTGAATCTATTTCATGGTGCACACCTTTCGAGTTGAGACTTGACAAAAATTAACTTCTGACCCGGAAAAGCTTGACTGCCAACTAAGCACTTCAGAAACATCTTCACAGTTACTTAAGATTATTATAGACCCACTTGAGAAAAGCTGTGACTCTCAGTTTTCATATTTTCGTTATCAAATGGCAGCGAAGTACACAGCATTCAAGGATAGCAGATGAACATAGAACTTATGAGTGATCCCATTGGCAAATTCAAAATAGCTCAGATGTGGAGGAGAAGAAAAACAAAGGGGGTTGGTGAAGCAAAATGAAATCAAATTTACATTTCGCATAGCGACATGAGTGTTGTTCATCAATTTAGCCAACGTAACTCAAGTGAGTACATAAAGGTAAAGGGTCAGTTTCAATCGTCTTGCCCGTCACGATCGGCAAGGTATTCAGCGAGCCTCTGCCTTTGAGCGTGAGCGTCATCTTGTACTTGAACTCGACTCGGACGAGTGACTCTGCTTATATTTGATGCAGTAGAGTTTGAGTACCTTTTTATCAGTTCGTCGCGTGATATTCTTCTCGCGAGAAGATTGTGCAGTATCTAAACTATTTTATCGAACACTACATATCATTAGAACTACAAGATAACTTAAGCGAGAAGCAATAAGTATGAGTTTCATGTAATCAGGCGAATCCTGTGATGGTCTTCGAAATACGCGAAAACGGGCTGTCAATATTCCGAAGACGCTCTCAATGACTCGGCGAGACCTCAGTATACTCAAATGTTTACACGAGGAAGTCAAACCGTATGGAAACTTACGAACTAAAAATCCATTAAAATGAGCCTTCTTCAAATCCCTGAATGCTTCCATTTGCAACTATGGTCGCTGCATCCAAGCGGGGGAAACCCCCATCGGCGAGTGTATGGTATTCAACGCCGTGACGACCAAAAGGTGCCGGAGTGGAAAGCTTCTTGGCTTCTTTAAAAGATTTTTGATGGGCGACGTACGGAGAAGCCTAAAAAGGTCAAAGAAGAGTTCCCATTCAGGTACGTCATACCGGAGTCTGATATGCGACCCTTTCCGCCGCAATCGACTGTGAGCATGCGATAGGTGCTGTCCACCGCAGCGAACGATTGAAAAGAAACCTTTGTAATTGTATGAGCGCTGCCGCTGTTCATCAAGGCCTGCTCAACCTTTCGGTTTACTATTTGGCTAACAGTTGTGTTTACTCACCACACATCTAAAGTGTTTGCCGTCTATAGCGCCGACGGCGCGGGGTGGTTCCACAAGGCGGAAAACCCTTCTACGCTTTCCAACCAGGTTGTAGAAGTAGGATTTTAGAATGCTTTTTGCCAAAACTCTGAAAAAAGAACTTGCTCCAGAATTAACTTCGGAAGAATGAAAGAAAGGGTACCTGCTATAAATTGCTCTACATGCTTCGTATACGATTGCTGTGACTGTTGATCTTCCAAGTCGAAACTCATGTTCCAAACTATGAAAACTTCTTTAGTAACCCAAATATCTGAAGTCATCTGAGTTCGCTGGTGGCACAGATAGAATACCAACCTCAAGCATATAGCCAGAAGGTGGACCGTATCCACTGGGAATCTATGCGACTGCATATGTGAAAGCCGTTCTTTTAAATGGTCGTGAAGCTCTTCAAATTAGCTGAACTTCAACCTGGTGTACTCGTGTAACATCGGTTCATCACGATCCTCCATATATCCGTCGAATGCCATGAAGCGCATTTGCACGTGAGCAGCATGGGTTTCGTTCATATACACACTTCGCGGGCCCTTATCCAATTCACGCGCGAGCAGGGGAGCAATGGATATATGTGTGGACAGAACTTCCGCCTGGCAGAGCAGTGGATACAGAGACCGCCAGATAACATACCTGCATTGTTTGCAAAACAATCCGCATCGTCCTTGTGATGATTATGGGGAGCATCAAACCGCGAATAGTATCAGATTCTTCGTCGTAATCTTGATTTCTGCAGGCGATGTGATGGAGACGAACGTGGACACATGGCTTCCCTGCACATGTAAAGAAGGAAATGGATGCGCTAGTGGAAACGCTAACCGACCTATGCTTCGATGCAATAAGAAAAGCTAACGTTGTTGAGTGATAAGAGTTAAAGTTAGGAGTAATTTTCCTGATTAACTTGAGTATAACAAAATTACAACGTCACTTTCTTTCGTATGAGAGAGTTTGAAGGAGACAGATGATGAAGAAGCACTATGAAAAAAGAAAAGGCGCTATCTGTGGATGATCACGACCAAAATGCAGAACAAAGTTGCGAAATCTCCACAAAGAGGGAGGGTAGCAGGGGTAGCAGCGACGGAGGAGGGGGCGATACAAAAGCTACGCGCCTATGCCTCTAGCCTATGCCGCGCCTTAACTCTAGCGCACGATTAATCTGTAGACATCTGGCAAAACGCCAAGTCGCATGGATGTAGCGATTTGACGAAATTGCGGGAAGTATATCTTAGTCTTAACATGTTGCTGCATGTTCCCGACTTGTAAGCTACTCGTGTTGCAAGTTCGAAAAGCAGAGTAAAGTAGCAGCAATTGTGGAAAAATTGATATATCATTCATTCTTTGCCGAAGACGAGCACGCTTCGCACGTCTGACTAACAAGTTCATAAGCGCGTAACGTAATTTGATAAACTTCTGTTAGGAAATCGAAGGAATATGTTTTTTTGCGTTGTTAGAAAGCTTAAAGATCTTTTTTCACATATTCCTAAAAGTCTTCTGAAACGCGTTGGAACGTGCTCTTGAATTTGTCAATTAGACGTACGCAAAGCGTGCTCGCGTCTCTTAATTAGAAAATGAATGACGTATACCAGCAAAGGCGCCTTCAAACGCTAATCTCCACTTTTCTTCTTTGCGGAGCAATTTTCGAAAGAAGTTTTGAGCGCTTGAAAGTCCAAGTCCTTGAAAGTTTGTCACACCTTAAGTGGCATGAAAACAGCTAAAAGTGTGTAAATACCTATGCGATTTCCAGCGGCTTAGTCTTTTCTTATAGTCACCCATTTTAGGCGTTTTCGTTAAGCACGCAATCCTAATGCAATCATCATTTGAGTTCGCTATTCCTTTGGTTGCCAAATTACAAGGTATTAGTTGAGAGTTGCATCGGAATGCAAGTTTACAATGTCTACTTGGCCATCAAGCGTGTCTTCATAAACTCGAAAACTTGATTTGGAATGACGTGAACGTTAAGCTTCATGCTCCTTCTATCGTGCGACATATCATATATGGGTAATTGGAACTGATGAGCCCTGAATTCCCTGAGATGCTCAACATAACGCATATGATGCATTCGGTAGAGAAGTAATCATACCCGCTTTTGATACGAATACGCGAAGGGCTTCTACGGAAACTCCCCAACTAAAGTTGGATAGTTCCCATCAAAGCAAATTGAGCAAAATGATACAGAAATGTATCATATTACATGTCTCTAAAACTGTGTTTCAAGCCTTGTTTGCAATGCTCGCTCTCTCGACTATCTGTACAGATACAGAAGATAAGGTCTTGGTTCTTTTTCCACACCGCCTACAAAAATTTAGCGGAGCTGGTTATCAGGGCAACTCATTGTTGTCCCTTTTCCATGACAGTCTCTTGCTGGTTGGATTGTTTGAAGAGTCTGACACTTAAGCATGGATATGCGCAATAGAACGTCATCGTTTTGGCGCTACCGCAATTGTGCCGGGGGATAGCGCACATGTGAACCACATGACTTTTCTGAGTTTCTGCGTATTTTCCCTTACGTCTGTAATCATATGCCATAAGAAGGCGGTTGAGAGCTTTAAGTGTTTTACTACCAATTACAAAAAATAAAGGAGATAGGAAAATGCTTTATTATTCCAATTATTCCATTATTTATTAGATTTTCCAATCACTACTTTCCTACATAGAAAATATGTGAAGATTAAGCAGATTTAACTGGTAATTCTCTGGCGTATGATGGAATATTAAAAAAGGCTGCCAACTTTTGCCGAATGTAGTCCGTTTCGTCTTTCAAAGATGGTGTGGTCTGTAAAAAATATCTTTTTGAATTTTGGCTTTTAATACCATACTTTAATTGTGGTGATGCCAATGGTTCTTGCGGCTTTAATGTTCGTAGCCAGATCATCAAGCAATAGGCACTCCTTTGGTTTTACCTGAGCATTTATCTGAGTAAAATACACAGAAACATGATTCAGTGCTATTAATAACAGACCTTCAGCTGATTGCACACGTGCCTGTATATAGCGTACTCTGGCTTTCGCATTCCAACCCTGCATGATTCAACAACTACATCGAAATGATTTTCAATATTCTTCGGAATAGTTGGAGAAAGTCGAGCTCGATCAACATAGCAGTTATTCGTTAGTAAAGCTGTTTTTATCCCAACTATGCGCAGGTCCTGAAAGAGTGAACCTCGTAGACTGCAGCATATCTGACAAGAGAGGGTCAAGAAGTCGAAGGCGATTACTACAACCTGCATACCATTAGTGAGAGTTTTGAACGCTGATGTCAAATCTGCTTCGCATATCTGCAGAGCGCCTTTACAAAAAAAAGTTTTGCATTTTTTTAAGGCAAAATTTGAATTATCTTATCTCCCAAGAAAAAAACAGTCGCTACGTCGTCCTTAGTCGTTAAATAATCAAGAGATAAGAAGTACTGTTATACTAGACAAAAGGAGTTTACTGTACTGAGTATCCTAACACCTGCCGCTGCTCCATCTAAAGTCTAGAGAGGCCGAAGCAGTTGATTTTACCCCTGCTAATAAATCAATTTTTGCACCAAAAATGCTCATAACTTCTTTCTCAAAGGTGCTCTGCAGATACGGAAGGCAGATTTGAAATTAGCGCTCCGAGCTCCCCCAGCATGCAGTTTGTAATAATTGGCCATTCCGACCTTTTGACCATCTTTATGAGCTGCTAACCTTCAGCAAAGTAGCCATTTCAGGTAATATCGTCTTGTCATGGATTCCTTCAATTACGGAAGAGATGATTGGTATGACTTTCTCCTTGCGTTGGTGCTAAAGAAGAGATGCACAAAAATACTGAAATTTTGCGATTTAGTTGACTTTGCTAAGTTACCTGTTTATTATAGAAATGGGTAAAAAGAGGGTCAAATTCTTCTGCGGTGGTCTCTCCTCGCTCTAGTGATTCATACTCTTCCCTTATAGGTGACTTGTTCAAAGTGAATAGGAGTGAATCTGCATCGATTGTTTGACTTGCTTCCATAACTTAAAGCGGAAACTTGTTTTGCGAGCTGTTGACAAATGTATGAAAAATAGTATTTATTTCACGTGCAATTCTAGGAGAAGCTACTTCAAGCAAGTGTTTGTTGAAATGTTGTACATGCATAGAGTTTTTTCATGTTCAAGGTACTGGTTAGGTTTATTTCAAAAACAAATTTTTGCTTATCTCCTAATTATAACTAATGGATCAAATGATTTGTCTCCTTACGATCAAAAATTTAAGCTTGAACCCCCAAATTTAGGATTGCCAAAGGTCCTGTTCACCCGAACATAAGCAGTCGCTCATCAGTCTCAACTTATGTTAGTGAAGAATACGAGTATTTTAGTTTTGATGGGTTGATGACGCTCTTCAGAACGTGCCCCGCCAAATCCTCCCTCAACCGTTTCCCAGTTTCTGAGCTTATCGTCCGCTGAACACGAGTACCATCGAACCTCCCAAAAAGGACGAAAACCCAGGAATTGCACCCTCTAAGGGAAACATTGGTTGAAAGTCTAATTGTAAACTAGGCTCAGCTTGAAAATTACTTGTGTGATTCCTGCATTATTTAGTACAGGGAGTGCGCATGGGCCCATGCAGACTAAATAAAGGAGGTTGTTCGACACCTGCTCAGCAGAGTCTCGCCCGCGCCCATATGTACAGATGCAGTTTTCTTCGCGGGCAGGAATTAAGGACTAATGCGTTGGTCGGGAAACTATCAAGTAGATCTACTTTCTCGTTGCATTTATAGTAAGGACTTGTTTCTTCCGAAGACACTGCCTTCAAAGTTTCCTGGGCACTTTTAGTTGAGATCCACCTACCTACCTTTCCATGATTCAGACGGTGCTTCTATTAATACTCCTCCTAGGTCAACGATGACGGCCTTCAAACATTTTTCTGGCATTCTCGACTGTACACAACGTAGATTAGTTGGAATAAATAGTCATTTGTTACCTTGAACAGTCTATATGATATGGTATAACAGGTAAAAAGGGTGTCAACGTAGAGTAGAAAAGGAAGAAAAGAGAAACAACGATGCTCTTCAGATGTGCTTATCAATGGGAAGAAGATGAGTACAGCAGAGCAAATTAACTGATATTGTTGAGTTGGCGGCTTTCTCCTCTTAAAGTGATGTCACAACTTGGGTGTATTATAAACAACTTTACTTTCGAAGGAGCACAAATTTTTGCATATTATCTAGCGAATTTCAGTGCCTTGTCTGTTGCTTCTGACGTTCCTCTTTATTATTCAATTTTCGATTCTGGGCGAGTCTCATACTATAGCTTGTGATGAGCAGTAGCTATAGCAGATTTTTATGGTGTATTGGAGACATTTCGCTTGGACATTACCATAGCAAAAAGCGTTTTGTGGATATTGTCATACTAATGGAAACTGGTCTTTCTCGATGAGGCTTTTGTTTTTACCCTCTTACTGTATAACATTCGTTTGTCAATACCTCCTTTTCTGCAATGTAGAAAAAATATATTGATCGTGCTATTATTTGCATCACAACACCAAATGTAAGTGATAGGATTAGTTGCCATGAATGATAGGAAGTAGATCATAGATTTGATGGTTAAAATAATGGCCCGTAGTAAACCCCCCATCAGGGCATCTCTCTTGACGCGGGCCGGCGTTGATCTCATCACGCCTCAGTCTAGCATTCGGCGAGCCTTTGATCTGGATGCGGATCGCTTCCGAGACATTACAATCAAGTGCGTTCTTGAACAAGGAACCGCTTGAGTTGGTTTGGTCAAACGGGTAAGCGATTGGAATTGCACGCGCGCGGCAGTGGTTCGAGTCCGACTAGCGACGCACATTTTGATGCATCGCTGGGCAATTTTTGATAGCGGCCACTACGCAATCGATGATGACCGCTATCAAGGATTTCGCCTAGCAAATGCACGGATAAAACAAAAACACAATTTGTGACGAAAATTTTATGAAAAAACGAAATGATTGCAGCGTGAATTTAATGAAATGAATAAATGAGTTCTTGTATTGGACAGCCAGTGAAAAAAAAAACAGTAAGGTTGTTGTCCTCGCCAAAATCAGCTGTTCATCGATCCACTCCTTTTCGGGCGCGGGTTGTGCAGTTTCGCGCCGATTTTGTCTGTATTTTTAGCCTGACTGATGTGTATCGTAAGTTACTCAGGAGCAACTTACGGGAGTCTTGTCTGCGTCTCCTCTTTTACACACTATTTGCATCACTCTAACATCAGTTCACGTTCAGGTCACTTGAACGTGAACTGATGTGGAAGAGTTGACTGCAGCAGGTGGACAGATAGTCAACTATCAGTTCACTCGCCATTCTTTAGCATGGGAGGTTGGGCGGTCATCAGTCCACCTGACGTTAGGTGGACTGATGGGATAACTTCAGTTCGAGCTGTACTACGGCCGGCTACGGGTCAGGAGTCACGATTTTTTGCGAAGCGACGCCGCAACGCGACGTCAAGCAGTACAAGACCCAGCTTCCGCTAGTACTCCTGTCGCAATGACACTTGTGCCATCGAGTCATGTATCTGCCGCCACCCCCACCTCCCTACTGTGGCGCCGTGCCACTTTAGCACCGGAGAGTTTTTGTGAGCACAAAATTTGGGCGCGGCGAGCGGCCACCGCGAGCGGTGTGACTCCTGACCCAGAGCCACTACGGCCAATGCCTCTGCAAATTCAACATTCGCTCGGAAAAATTTTCCATGCTTGCATAGGCGATAATACCGCTAGAAAATGGTTATACAGCACACTTTTTAGATTCTGCTTACAATGGCTACTCTTTACGCGCAAGTGTTTGAGCAACATGAAATCACTACATCAAGCTCTGATCTCCTCGAAATTAAAGTGGCGTAACGCATTAGAGCCAGGGGATAATCCAAACCCTAATTATTGCTTGATGTATTACATTAGGCACTGGAGAGTCAAAACTACATGTGCATCCCGACCAGCATCCCATAACTCGGGCACCTCCAGCCGTTTTTCGCCTCGGTTTTGAGTATTACAACGTTCAAGCAGAGATTGAGCACAGTCCAGAAAAAAGAGGACAAATTTCTATATCCATCGCTTTGTTGGGTTACAAACTTTGATAGAAAACCAACTGGGTATTCCTGTTTCGCTAAAAAAAACCCCAGAGGAACCGCTTGGGCGACAGTTCAAGAGTGACCTTTGTGGAGATATCTCTGGGAAGCTGGCCGGGACACACACTAAACCCAATGGAGAGAATCACTATCGAAAATGATGAAATCGTAGTGTATGGCATGCAAATTTCCACTTTGCTAGCGGAATGCACAGTACTAAAGTTAAACTATTACCAGAAGTTCAAATGATCAGTTTTTGCTCATACCTAGAATTTTTGCGAGTTAGATCTTTTGAGGCTTGAACAGAAAGATTGAAAAGTTCACTTGAGCACGATAAAAGTTAAGAGACACTTAAAAAAGTCTTGGCTCAACATGATGCAAATTACATACTTGCTTAATTCTTCTATATCGACTATTATAGTAAAGAGTCATTGCATGCAAGTTTCATACAAAAAAGAAGAAGCAGCATGTTTCGGTAACAGAGTGAAAGATATATTGGAGATTACTGAAATAAATGACCCCCATGACCTCAAACTGTTTTTGCAATGGGATCTGAAATTGGACCATTCAGTTCTAATATTAAACAATGAAATAGTCAAGTAGCTTTTCTCATAAACAAAATCCCAGCGAAATAGTGTTATATGCAGAGCTTCTTGAACTAACAAGCATTGGTAAGTCTACTCAAGCACGATAAGGTGTTAAAAAATTGGCCATATATCTGCGTTCAATGCGAATAATGAATTACGAATGCGCTTTGTGGTACTATAAATATCTGTAGTGTTTCTATAAATATCACATTTTTATGTTGACTAAACATAGAGTTCATAGTCGGTCCTATAAAATGTGTACATATTCGTATAACGTCATGCAAGGTAAAGTTAACAAACGCGAGATTATTTATGCCCACAAGCTTCACGATGGGCTGTAAGTCGTTCCCGAGTGATCTCTCCTTTTCCATACAACCCCATTCAAATGGCTTACTTGATCTTGTCTAGCTTAATTCCGATGATCTTTGGAACGCCTCATTTTATTCATCAAACGCTAACGTCATTGCACTGTGAAGATATCCTAATGCAAACTCCTTTTACGACGATTTTTCAAAGATCCACACAAATAAACTCATTTTTCTCGTTTGTGACCGTTTGATAAAAAGTCTGTGTTTGATCAGACGAGCTCGTCCGATGAAGCATTCAAGCAATGTTATTCCCACTATTCCCACTCAGACTTTACTTTCGGCTCATTTTTCTCGTCAGATTTATGGCCACAGCCGTCAATTGTTATGAGATAGTCATTCGCGTATCCAAGTAATGTGATCTAAAGCGACTGTTTCAATATTTGTTACCAGTTCAAGCGCATAAATCAATGAAAAGTGTTTCACTATCTTATTGTGTCCATCAAATCAAAGTAGAGAACAGCTTTCAACACTGTAAGGCACAATGTCTATCATAAAGTAGGCTGGTTGCCTGCAAACCGGTGCAGGTTGCCTTTGCTATCGCTCTAGGACAGAAATATCACAGCTATCTTGTTCCATCAAGCAAAGCAAGCCCTACAAAATAACATTTGAACAACCGCAACAGACTTGATCCACTTAAAGTTTGGAAGCAAAATTTGTTTTGCGTGTCTGAAAATCATGTCGGAAAGTCTTGCAAGCCTTTCAGTAGATCGCATATGCTTTCCACATGAAGTGTATGAAGTTGTCGAATCTATTATTACGGCTAGAAGCAGAAACAAATTTGGGCCATGTACGGATATGTAGCTTATCTTAGTTTTTCTTAAATTTGAGATTTCTCTCTAAGTAGAGCTGCTTACAGAAGGCTATGATTTACTTGCAAAGATTTGCAGTATTAAAATAACCATGTGCTTAAAGCTTAGCATTTGCTAGTAGGAGCATGCCATTTTTTGTTTTCTTGATTTCTAGTCATTGGGAAGTACGGCAAATCTACATATGAATTTCTGATGTTGACATGTGTTTCTGATCAAGTTGGAGACTCAAAGGATCTTTTTGGATGGAGATCCAAATTCGAAGCAATTAATTTTTTCTAGAGTTTGTTTACTACATGTGCATCGAATTCTTGCTGACAATGAAATGCCTATTCACGCATTGCTTAGATACTAACTGTCCATCTTGCTTTATTTTATCAAATAACGTGGTACTATCTAAGTCGCGCAGAAACTAACAGCCTTCTTTCGAACAGAGCCACCGATGGTAACAAATGCGATGCCTTCTTTCCAAAGAGAGAGAGAGAGAGCAAAGGGGACACAGTATGAATATGAAGCACACAATCTGCCCATCCAAAAAGTCGTTTTCCTCCTACTTAGAACGCAAAAGGAAGTGCAGTTTTGTATTTACTATTTACTACTTTGGCGGAGTCCCCTCGTATTTCAAGTTTTCTGAGTCTACAAGTCTTAATCCCAAAGGACGCCGTAATCGTAAAGGGCACAACTTTTTCAGATTATGCCAGAGGCGGCCCTCAAAAATAGCAAAACAGTTGTTAAAGAAAGTTCGCTTATGCACGTAATATGCAAGAAGTGAAAAGCGTTTGTTGTATTCGACTTTACAATCATGAATATAATTGGTGTTGAAAGTAGACACAATGACGCTTATGCAGATTTTTAGCTGTCTATCTCCGCCTTTCGCGAAGCATGGAACTTTTCCAGACAAAATCAAGCATCTGCCATCTGACTACACCTAGTTTCCAAAAGATGAATCAAAGAATGAGGGCCATTCCTAAGTCCGCGTAAGAAGAAAACTCTGGATTAGGTTTATCCCAAGGTAGTTTTCTTTTCAGTGAAATCTGAGTCTTGACAGTGTCACTTGATGCACGCCGTAAGCACGCCATAATCGTCATGCGATCGTCAATATGTTAATGGCAGCGTCTCGGCAAGATTTCACTGCTCAGATTTCACCTATTCGGAGCCTTCTCGCCATGAGGAACCCATATTGGCTCTTAACATATGAAAATGGCGGAAATGAGCCTTTATTTCCAAGTACGCATTTAGTGAGACTTTGCCGGAAGTCTCTCGCATCCCGCCTCCCTCGTTTCGAACGCCGCCCACTTACACGTACTTTTTACTAAATGAGGACCTAAAAAGCTTCAAGAAAAGCTTATTTTCGCCATTCTCGTGCGCGGAAATCCCATATTTGGGTCCATGGGAGAAGGCTCCGAAATAATGAAAAGCTGGATAACGACATTTTTCATTTTTTTTTCGGACAATGCCTTAAGGGCAAAACTATGACTGCGCATTAACTTGGCTTTGGACAGATTCAGTGCTTTTTAGATGCCTTTGCTGCCGAGTCAGTTTCTTTATTTCTTCTTCTCACAGATGTTAGTATGAGCATAGATTTCAAGCTGGATAGGATTGGTGAAAGACGAATAAAAGAGTTAATGACTTAATTCTACACATGCTTGATTAGTAGGAAGAAAAAGTTGCTTTCAAGTTTATTCCATTTCAAGAGGTCTGTTTCAAATTTAGTAACCTCCTCACTTGTGCAGCAGTACTGATTGGTGAAATCACCTAAACTTTCAATATAATACGACTGATAATCGAGCTCTAGAGGCACTTACTTTTACAGTAGTGATGCCCATTTTTCTTGCTGCTGTAAGATTGACGTCGAGGTCATCAAGGAACATGCAGTCTTCAGGCCTTGACTACATAGGGCCGATTGTGCAACGTAGCAATTTATCGAAAAATACCTCTAGCTGACCGCATGCGTGCTCATATATGACACTTTCTGGTTTTCGGATCCCAAGCCTGCAAGACTCCACTATTACGTCAAAGTAGCTCTCAGTTTCCTTTGGAAGAGTAGGTGCCAGCCGAGCGCGATCCGCAAAAGCATTGTTTGTAAGAAGAGCAGTTTTATAGCCAGCTGAACGCAAATCCTAAATCGAATCATCATTTTAAGTTTAATGAGTTTTTGGAGATGACCTTCAATAGTTTAATCATCACTGGAAATATTTTCATTTCATGGATTCCTTTGATGAAAGTTGTAATAAGAGGAATAAATGTGTCGCTGCGTCCACACTAAACAATTAATTCGTCGATGTTAAGAATGATTCAGCCCACCTTCTTATTGCAATGATCTGTAAACATTGAATCAAATTCTTCTGCGCTAACTATCCCTCTTTCCAGCTCGTCTAGATGATCTTGGAAAACTGGTAAACTGAGAATCGACAAGAATGCACCTCTATCAAATCCTCGATTTTTCTCCAGATCTTAAAACCGATTTTATTCGTATTTGGCTTCTTGAATACAAGTAAAAAATACACAGCGTTTAAGTCATTTGATTCCCAGTGAAATATTCAAGAAAGTTTTTTGGTTTTTTCGAAAATTGGAAAGGGGATCAGAAGCTTGGATTAGGAAAAGCTAGGTTCCTCATGTTCTCAGCATCGCTATCTGTAATAACTTGATTCTCCCAAATTTTATCTGGTGATGTAGTCAGCGCATGAACAGGATTAGTGCAGCCCTCCGGGTGGGGGAAGTTCCGGGTTACAACTCTTCCAAAAGCAGTGAATGGCAAATGCGAGTGATTACTACTGGATCTGGTAAGTTATATACCCAACCGCAGACCTAAGTTCGTTTCAGCTAAATTCTTTTTAGTTACGCTCCCAAGCAAAAAATATTGTTGAAGGGTTGTTCATGCATGGGAAAAATTCTGCACTATACTATCAAATATCCATACGGCTTAACTTCTGATTTTAAGAAGAGAAATCAAGGAACCTAAGAGCGCAGTACTGTGTTCTTACTTTTACTGAGATATTTTGTTTGAGGTGCTGAATGACCAAGAGGAACTTGTTCTTGTTTACTCGTAAGAAAGTAGTCCGTAAAAAATCTGGTAATTGTACTAATCTGGTAATTATGTAATTATCTGTTTTTTGGAAAAACTCAAAGTCGATTACGACTTTTATCCTTGTTATTATCGAGGTACCTTTAGATATTCTTCAATTTTTGACCATTTTGGAACAGTTTGATACAGTTTTGATGACAGGATTTTAAAGGTATCCATGATTCCGGCCTTCTGGCCACTGTTTCATAGCTACTCTTTATACAGCTACTTCAGATTTTATATCAGTTCATTGACGGCTTGCTTGCCATGAACTTTTCGCTAACTAAAAAATGCAAGGGACATCTTTGGTATGTACAGTTTCTGTACAGTTTGTACAGGCAAAAAACCAGGAGAATTTTAAAAAATTTTTAGTTCAAGTTCTGTGATGAATACTCCATCTCAAACTTTGACTGTAGACTTCTAGATTGACTGCGTGCCTGATCTGAGCAAAACACTGCTGGGAAAGCATGGATAAAGATGATTTTTTGGTGATAATGCGCTTATTTTGCAGACATTCATTTTACATCTTGATCGAACTCAATCAAATACACACAAAAATGGTTTTTGTGCATATTATTTGAGTTGCATTTTTCTACCAAATGAATCAAAATTACCTGTCCACGACTGTGATGGTGTGTCTATCAGCACTCCACCCAAGTCGAAAATCACTGCTTTGATAGACATTCTGCAAAAATAATGTACGTAGACGTAGAGAACGAAAGCACTTTGAAACAAATAATGAAGTTTTTTATCGCTCATGATCCCGCAGGGCCTCGGGCAGAGTTCACGCGATATCACCGCCTCGCGATTCTCCCAACAAGACAACAGTTACGAATCCATTGCATGCCGATCATCTTGCATTTCGGTTGTAATCGTTCGTCACGATTAATCGTTTCAGAAAACTATCACCACCGGAATGCAAGATGATCGGCATGCAGTGGAATTGTAACTGTTGTCTTGTTGGGAGGATCGGGAGGCGATGAAATCGCGTGAACTCTGCCCGAGGCCTAAGAAAGAGAATGGATTGCTATGAATGGATTGATTTTTGAAAGTGCTATATGAGCAATAAAATTGCTCAAGTGAATATGACTTGATAATTATTGGAATTTTCAAAATTCTGATTAGCTTGAAAAACTTTTTACGGGTGGGTGCCGCCCACCTCCTTTTGTTGAGAGCTTGAGTAACGCTATCCCTTCATTTACATATTAATTCTTTTTGGCTCAGTAGAAAGGATTTCAGGACCGTCGCTGCCACTGAATACTGTGCTGATGATTTTTCGCCATAAAATTTTAACACGCTCGAGTGCGAACCAGGCGAGCAGCTTTCACCAACTGAAAAGGCGAAAGCGAAGCAGGAGACATGCAGTCTTCTACAGAATTAAGGCATATGCTGAGCGAAATACGCCTGGGGATTCATTGCCATGATGTGGGTATCATAAGTGGCTTCAGCATAAGAAGTGAACGTTGTTTTGAGCACATACGAGTTTTATATGTGTATGACAACAATTTCTAATTTTTTTGTAGAGAAATGCAAAACTAGCATTATGTTGGTCAGGTGGAGAACGTTGGCAACCTATACCCTGCAGTGCTCTGCTTACACATGAGCACCAAGAATAAACGAAGAATCTGAGACTAAAACGCATTCTTTCTCTGACAAGGAAACAAGGAGAAATCACTGATATTAAGCAGGTTTTAATTCCACAATTCATGAATTAGAGCGCGGAGGGGGGGGGGATGAATTTAGCGCAGCGCAATAAATTTCGTTCAGCTTATTTGCTGGGCCGTATACATATGTAGTTAAAACATGTAGTAATCTTCCCACTCTGAAACAAAGAATTTCCACCTGATGAAAAGATATTAGAAGTGACGATGCTATTTTTGATTAGGTGAAAGCGAAGACATGAGCAAGCATCACCTGGCAAGGTTCCTGGAGCAGAGCACGAAAAGCCAACTCTTTGTAGTTGAGTATTTCACATTTATAATACCAATTCGCTCTTTGCCAACATATCAATCACTGATTTGCCCCGATCTGACACGTCTTTACAAGATCCTGCAAGTCTATGCAAGCTACAGCAGTGCCTAGGAAGCTTCACACGTTCATAAAAGGCACAGTTTCACCTCTTCAGACTTATCCATGTTGACGTAATCTTAATAATGCCATGTATGGTAAAGCAGTAAGAGCCCGCAGTCTTCAGATTTGGACTAGCAAGGGAACCGTGTCGAGTCGAAGTGGCCTTTCGAGATGAGACCCATACTGCTTTATAGAGCACTAATCGATGATTCCAAATCTGTGCCAAGCGCCTCTGGACGCCGAGTTATGCTCGTTTTCAGGTCAAAAACTGAACGCGAAACTGAAGCAAAATCGCCCAAATTTGCTCAAATGGTCCAGTGTCAAGTATCAGAGTTGTTTATGCAATGGATACATTTTATTTAATACCAGTGCGTCACCTCCTCTTCGCAGATGCTTGCACTGCTCTAGTATCTAGGCCCTACTCATTCTTGCATAATGATGGCATTGGAACTCACCGAGCAATGCCGACTATCACGAACAAAATGTAAACAATCACTCATTCCAAAATCTTTTTTATGTGAAATCGGTGATTTCGCGTGGATGAGACTTTTTGCAGGAAAACAAATGCAAATTTTCATAGGTTTTTGATTTTTCCATGGTCTTTACAGTTGCTATAAGAAAGCAGTCACCGTGAGCTACATCTCTGTGCAAAAATCTAGTCAAATGGTCTGGTAAAACCTTGTCAAATTGACCATTTACGCAACCAATACTTTTTGGCGCCGTTTTTGTAAAGTAATGGACTTTTGATCACTTTTTTGAGCCTAAGTTCATGGCTTGCACATTTACTTGGCAAAAACATCTACGACTCTGAAAAAAGTGGAATTACGGACCCATTTTTGCTGCCCAAATGCAAAGTGGATCCGTTTGACACGCAGTTTCTGAGGGATCCACTCAACGAATCTGCTCGTGCTTTTGCATGTTGGACCTTCATGCGGGTAACATGCGCTCTGCAAAATTTGAGCCCAGGAGGTTGGCTGGAACACGCTCTACGAATTTCGTAACAGACACACTCTCACACACACAGACAGACACACAAAGTCACGTAAACATCCTTAGCCCGTTATTATAAGTTATGATGCTAATACTTAACATTGCTTTATATGAGCGCTGGAAAGATTGTAACAATCATTTTTACCTAAATTTTGCATTCATTTTTCGTTCCAAAGAACGGTTATAACTCGGCGTCCAGAGGCGCTTGGCAGATTTGGAAGGCAGATTTGGAATCGCCGCTTAATACTCTTCAAAGCAGTATGGGTCTCATCTGGAAAGACCACTTCGACTCGACACAGTCTCCTTGTAAGTTTTGACAGTGCAGGAGGGCAACCGTAAGGCGACAAAAAGTGCAATTTGCAAACGGCGTAGAGCCATAACTCACAAGTTATGTATCGGTCCTGACCCCCACCCACTGTTTTTGCCGCCTAACACCTTACTCCGGGAAGTGCAAAATTATATTTTGATAGACTTGAGCAGTTTTTTGTGCAAAATTGTCAATAGAATGCTAGAACCTATGTATGGCCTTTGTGACTATTTTTTGACTGCATCTTATGTCTGGATGCAGATACAACAAGACGGTAAATATAATTGGGCGTAACTTAGGTGCAGCAAACGCATGGTTTCCTCATCAAAATGTCAACAACGAGGTTCCGTTGCCTTGTAAGCTTTCGCTGTAACTGGCATGTGCGTTGAGAGTCATAAAAGCTTTCTGTATAATATGGCTCTTCACTATTCCCTTTGAGAAATTGGACGTGATGAGAATTTTAACAGTTACACTAAAAGCATGAATCATGTCCCGAATGGATGAGAGTCAGCACACAAACTATCATATTCGCTGTTTTCTGTAGAGGAATTACGAAACGGCCTAGACAGACCACTAAGCCAAAAATCATATGTGGCCCGCATGCTATGATCGCTCATCTGCGTTTCTATCGTTCCACTGATATTGCACCAATAGTGTGTTACGTAGGTGTATTCTCAATGAGTCTATCAAACGAAATTTACTTTTGTTTGATCGAAGATTGGGGTCGATACTTCTTTTGGGCAGTCCTTTGAATTTTGCAACGATATGCAGACAAGTCCTAAGCTCGTTATAGTCGTCAGATCCCTTCTATCAGCTATAAGCCATAACGTTGATCTTCCAGATTTAAAAATCACGGAGATCATTTTCAATTATTCCGAGAATTTTATAAAGGTCCTCGACTGTGTTCCAAATAAACCCTCCCATGTGTTGTTTCTTGCTTTTTTAGTAGATCAGTAATGTATAAATGAATTCACATATTCTTCTCAAAGGAGGATTCAGTGAGACTACATTTTGTGGCAAGAATATTCCGACTGTACTCCCAAGTGCAAAACTTCGTCGAAATTCTTTGGAATGTCAAACATCGCTAGAGGCACTAATTGAACACATCGCATAGGCACCGAGTGATGAATACCATCAATATTGATTAAACTAGACTCTTTTGTAATGCTACGCTAATCTGAGTATATACGAAATCAGTGTTCCTCATACAAAACCTCGATCTGATGAGAACTTCCAAAAATGGTCTTTCTCGCTTGCACTTCCAAATCTGATTCACATTTGCACTGAACTTGTGGTTAGCAAAAATAAAAAATGATGATATTATGAGCATTTGTAATTTTTAACTATCCATTTTTATACATGCATCTTTACAAAAGCAGCGCCACTACGAACACAGAGCTGCGAAAAATGTGATCACAATAATAAGACGTAAAAGCTACGAGCACATTGTTTACACGCTTACTGAGATGTGTTATGTTACTCCTGAGAATGTGCCTCGTTTCGCATAGCATCGGGTACTGGTGGTGGCGTCGACAACTCGTCAATTACGGGGGCGGATTCGCCTCGAAACATCAACGCTACCATGGCGGGAGTTTGTGCCTTTGCATTGTTGACTGTGAAACCACTTTCTGCCAGCGTTTTCTTGTCATCTAGGGGCAGAAAATTGGTGTTGCTGTCGTCCAGAAGGCGTACAAGTACTTGATCAGTGACGGGAATTTTTAGCACACCCTCTACAATTCTCTTAAGTTCCAAGACTGGAGCTGTGTCTTTAGCATCACAGAACACATGCTGCTTTTCTTGGACGATTTCGAAGAACAGCTCATGAGCCATGTTTGAAAATATACACTCAAAAGCTGATGACCCGAAAAGCAGAAACTCTCAAACTTGGGTAATTAAACCATAAATTACCAGCAGGATTTATCTATATATTTATATTTATAGGATAAATATATTATTATATTTATAATAATTGTAAGCAAGTAATATCTATCACCATAGTGAAATAAGTACGCAAAATAGTCGGGCTTGTTTGCCAAACTATAAGTAATCTTTGTAGGGTACAAAACACACACAGTCTACTACTGTCTACAACTACAGTCTCAGATAAACAATCTGCAAACGCCTGCTTTGTGACGGTGTTTGCGATGCACCTTTTTCAAATAAATGGCAAATCAAAGTGCTTAGTAATACTTTATATAATAATGAACACATCACCAATCGATTATCAATTTGGGTAAATTAGTAACTTCGTTGGTGTAGCTTACGAAAATTATGAAAATGAAAAAAATTATGATAATTTATTATCGCTATAACCTACAAAACTCCGTATTTGGTACTTTACATTTTATTTGAATCATCGAAATTTATTATCGCTATAACCTACAAAACCCCGTATTTGGTACTTTACATTTTATTTGAATCATCGAATAATTTTTTTTTATTGATGAAACTCAAAATATCCATATAAAGCCGAAGAGACTCAAAGATTGTTTGGTTGTTGTTTGCTTTCTTGTATCCTTACTATAATATACATTCGATCATTTCAAGCACGACGGCAGAGTTTTCTGCGTCCCTCCTATCCTTAACCCCAGCGTGACGGAGGGTCCAGTTGCCGAAGGAATCCAGAAAAAGGAATGCGAAAATATAACGGCGCTCAGTGATGGCGAGAGGAGAGGCCAGTAGCCATTATGCCGGCGAGAGATTCGCTCGCACTATGGGTCCCGTGCGGAGCGGAAATTTTTCAACATTGAGCTAAGCGGCTACCATTTGGCACGGGGGGTGTATGTGTGAGGGCTGATCACAAAAACATTCCATTTAGAATTACCGGTAATCTATATGCGGTATATATATAGTCATTATTCTGGGTAAGAGATTGTTATTGTGTTTCTGTCACAGTGGTTCTCGCCGATGGGGTACGAAGAAAGTTATTGATCGCTTGTGTCATTTTGTACTGTCGTGCACGCATTCAAGCAGTATTCTGTTACCTACTGGAGCTCACGGCTCTTATTTGACTCTTCATGGGACATTTCTTCACAAAAAGTTAACCTTCTGCTCAAGTAACGCTCCCTATTTTTGTCAGCTTGATGGGAGCTGAAGCTTTTTTATTCAACATACAAATAATCAGCATAGCATACAGCCCTCCTACTTCCATAATCATTTTGACTGGAAATAATTGGATTGGTTTTACACTATTGATGATGCAATGATGCGTTTATTCCACAGCTAGCGATTAAATGCATAAATGGTTAATGCACAAATGAAATAATTGTCATTATAGAGTTATTCTATGAGTTCGAGACCGTCTTATGCATGATTACCTTCGATTTGTTCAAAAAACGCTGTATTTTGATCACCAGGCTTCTGCGATAGCCGAATTTTCCGGATTTTGACTATGTCGCGTAGTTTAGTACGTCGTCCGACAAACCATTGCAATCTTTCTTAAATGAACGCAACTCCACACCCTCAAAGGAAAAAGAGTAGTTGAGAAATGAAAGACTTCAATCTATTTTTTGCTGTTGTTGTCAAGGCACGAACATTTTTTGAAGGACTCCATCGGCTCACAAACACACTTTTGGGTTTTTTTTCACTAAGGAATTCTGCTTTGCCCAAATAGAAAAGGGCAGAGCGAACATGGTTTCGCTGGCAACAGAGACTAGGGGAAGGGGACTCTATGCGGCACGCACTTTTTCTGAAGAACTCCAAGGGCTCACAAACAAACTGCCCTTGGGTTTTTTGGCCTTTGGAAGGGGCCGGGGCCTTTATGGGCGCGAAATTTTCGAAGCTCAAGGCTTTACAGAAGAAGTTTGATGTCGAAAAGATTTTAGGTTTTTTTCTCACTGAGGGATTCCTACTTTTCCCAAATAGAAAAGAGCAGGGCGAACATGGTCCCCTTGGAAGAGACCAGGGACTTTATGCGGCACGCACTTTTTTTCTAACGAACTCCAAAAGCTCACAAAAAAAACTACGTTTGGTTTTTTTCTCACTGAGAAATTCCTATTTTTGCCCAAAAAGAAAAGAGCAGGGCGAACATGGTTCCCTTGGAAGGGACCAGGGACTTTAAGAGCGCGAAGTTTTCGAAGTTCCAAGGTTTTACAGACAAGGTTTGATGTCGAAAGAAATTTAAGGTTTTTTCTCAGGGAGGAATATTTTTGCCCAAAAGGAAAAGAGCAGGGCGAGCGTGGTCTCGCTGGAAGCAAAGAAAAGGGGGACTCTATGCGGCACGCATTTTTTTCTAACGAACTCCAAAAGCTCACAAAAAAAACTACGTTTGGTTTTTTTCTCACTGAGAAATTCCTATTTTTGCCCAAAAAGAAAAGAACAGGGCGAACATGGTTCCCTTGGAAGGGACAAGGAACTTTATGCGGCACGCACTTTTTCCTAACGAACTCCAAGGGCTCACAAACAAACTACCCTTGGGTTTTTTACTGAGAAATTCCTATTTTTGCCCAAAAAGAAAAGAGCAGGGCGAGCGTGGTCTCGCTGGAAGCAAAGAAAAGGGGGACTCTATGCGGCACGCATTTTTTTCTAACGAACTCCAAGGGCTCACATACGAACTCCCCTTGGGCTTTTTTTCACTGAGAAATTTCTATTTTTGCCCAAAAAGAAAAGAGCAGGGCGAACATGGTTCCCTTGGGGACCAGGGACTTCAAGAGCGCGAAGTTTTCGAAGTTCCAAGGTTTTACAGATAAGGTTTGATGTCGAAAGAAATTTAAGGTTTTTTTCTCAGGGAGGAATATTTTTGCCCAAAAAGAAAAGAGCAGGGCGAAAGTGGTCTCGCTGGAAGCAAAGAAAAGGGGGACTCTATGCGGCACGCATTTTTTTCTAACGAACTCCAAAAGCTCACAAAAAAAACTACGTTTGGTTTTTTTCTCACTGAGAAATTCCTATTTTTGCCCAAAAAGAAAAGAACAGGGCGAACATGGTTCCCTTGGAAGGGACAAGGAACTTTATGCGGCACGCACTTTTTTCTAACGAACTCCAAGGGCTCACAAACAAACTACCCTTGGGTTTTTTTACTGAGAAATTCCTATTTTTGCCCAAAAAGAAAAAAGCAGGGCGAACATGGTCCCCTTGGAAGGGACCAGGGACTTTAAGAGCGCGAAGTTTTCGAAGTTCCAAGGTTTTACAGACAAGGTTTGATGTCGAAAGAAATTTAAGGTTTTTTCTCAGGGAGGAATATTTTTGCCCAAAAAGAAAAGAGCAGGGCGAGCGTGGTCTCGCTGGAAGCAAAGAAAAGGGGGACTCTATGCGGCACGCATTTTTTCTAACGAACTCCAAAAGCTCACAAAAAAAACTACGTTTGGTTTTTTTCTCGCTGAGAAATTCCTATTTTTGCCCAAAAAGAAAAGAACAGGGCGAACATGGTTCCCTTGGAAGGGACAAGGAACTTTATGCGGCACGCACTTTTTCCTAACGAACTCCAAGGGCTCACAAACAAACTACCCTTGGGTTTTTTACTGAGAAATTCCTATTTTTGCCCAAAAAGAAAAGAGCAGGGCGAGCGTGGTCTCGCTGGAAGCAAAGAAAAGGGGGACTCTATGCGGCACGCATTTTTTTCTAACGAACTCCAAGGGCTCACATACGAACTCCCCTTGGGCTTTTTTTCACTGAGAAATTTCTATTTTTGCCCAAAAAGAAAAGAGCAGGGCGAACATGGTTCCCTTGGGGACCAGGGACTTCAAGAGCGCGAAGTTTTCGAAGTTCCAAGGTTTTACAGATAAGGTTTGATGTCGAAAGAAATTTAAGGTTTTTTTCTCAGGGAGGAATATTTTTGCCCAAAAAGAAAAGAGCAGGGCGAAAGTGGTCTCGCTGGAAGCAAAGAAAAGGGGGACTCTATGCGGCACGCATTTTTTTCTAACGAACTCCAAAAGCTCACAAAAAAAACTACGTTTGGTTTTTTTCTCACTGAGAAATTCCTATTTTTGCCCAAAAAGAAAAGAACAGGGCGAACATGGTTCCCTTGGAAGGGACAAGGAACTTTATGCGGCACGCACTTTTTTCTAACGAACTCCAAGGGCTCACAAACAAACTACCCTTGGGTTTTTTTACTGAGAAATTCCTATTTTTGCCCAAAAAGAAAAAAGCAGGGCGAACATGGTCCCCTTGGAAGGGACCAGGGACTTTAAGAGCGCGAAGTTTTCGAAGTTCCAAGGTTTTACAGACAAGGTTTGATGTCGAAAGAAATTTAAGGTTTTTTCTCAGGGAGGAATATTTTTGCCCAAAAAGAAAAGAGCAGGGCGAGCGTGGTCTCGCTGGAAGCAAAGAAAAGGGGGACTCTATGCGGCACGCATTTTTTCTAACGAACTCCAAAAGCTCACAAAAAAAACTACGTTTGGTTTTTTTCTCGCTGAGAAATTCCTATTTTTGCCCAAAAAGAAAAGAACAGGGCGAACATGGTTCCCTTGGAAGGGACAAGGAACTTTATGCGGCACGCACTTTTTCCTAACGAACTCCAAGGGCTCACAAACAAACTGCCCTTGGGTTTTTTGGCCTTTGGAAGGGGCCGGGGCCTTTATGGGCGCGAAATTTTCGAAGTTCAAGGCTTTACAGAAGAAGTTTGATGTCGAAAAGATTTTAGGTTTTTTTCTCACTGAGGGATTCCTACTTTTCCCCAAATAGAAAAGAGCAGGGCGAACATGGTCCCCTTGGAAGAGACCAGGGACTTTATGCGGCACGCACTTTTTTTCTAACGAACTCCAAAAGCTCACAAAAAAAACTACGTTTGGTTTTTTTCTCACTGAGAAATTCCTATTTTTGCCCAAAAAGAAAAGAGCAGGGCGAACATGGTTCCCTTGGAAGGGACCAGGGACTTTAAGAGCGCGAAGTTTTCG